TAATCTGGTTTATCGTTGCTTTTTTGTATTGCATTTTGTATTTCAGAAATAATATTACATTCAAATAATGGTTTATAATCTGTAATTAATTTCTCATCACATTTTAGTTCTGTTAAGAATAAAGGCCAAAATTGATCACAGTCTTTATTTGCATAAGTAGCTATAATCTTACTCACAGGTTCCCACAATAAAGAAAAATTTATATATAGATTTCCCAATAAATATCGAAGAGGAATTTCATAATATTTCAAATCAAAATTTGTCATTATATCACTTTCATATGACAATGTTTGTAAATGTAGCAATTTACTTCTATAAGTCTGTATAGATATAGATTCACATTCTGCTAAATACATATGTTCCATAGGATTTCTTTTATTCTTTTCATTCAAAGTAGATTCAATTTCATTGATATTAGAAAATAAAAAATATAAATGTGTTACTATTAAACGGATTTCACTAAAAGGTGAACTTAATTTCTGTGCAATATTATTATTTAACTTATCAAATATAATTCTATTTATATAAATATCTCGATATTGTGATGTACTAAAATATGTTATATATAAATCTACTGCATTTAAGATGAACTTATTATCAGGATATTTTGTAATTAAGTCTAATATTTTTATATCATTCATTTCCATAAAATTTTGTAAAATTTCTAATTCCAATATATGAATTGCTGATTCCAAAGCTATTAATAATGTCAAACATAATTTACTTATTTCAATTTCTATATTGATATTATTTAATATCCGTTGATATAAAGATAATATTCCATTTTTTAAAATATCTTTAAATTCTTCTGGCAAAGGTTTTAAATGTGGTAAAATAATTAATGTCTTTAATGTATTTACTGGTATATCATTATTTAAAAGAGCTTTTAAATTCTTTTGACAGAAATTAATACTATCAAACTTTGCACCTCGTATATCTAAAATGTATTTTGTCCATTTATTCAAATTGATACCATTAAGACATAAGGGAGCTTTTACTTTAATTATCTTAGTAAACAGTTCTAAAATGTCATCATTAAAACCAATGGAGATGCTATGTCGTATTATATGAGGCAATATTAAAGTTTCAAATGATGAATAGTGCATTAAACTTTCAACAGTACCATATAATAATTTGATATCTTTCACAGACATAATTTTAAATAATATTTGACTGGATGTCTCTTGCATCAATTTAACATTAGTTGCCAAAAGAATAGTAACTGATACATTTATAGTTTCTTGCAATACATCATTTTCATTTTCAAAAATATTTAAAATTTGAACCAACTTTTTAATCAATGATACAGGATCTATAACAATTTTTCCATTTTTATAATTTATAATTGTATTCAACAATTGCATCAAAAGAATTAAACTTTTTTGCTTTCCAGTTGTTAATTGAAAATTTCTAGTTTTTTCAATAGATTTGTCCATAACATTTAAAAATACAGACCAAAATATATGACATTTCTGTGGATATATATTTTGTAGCAAACAGTCAATAATTTCTTTTAATAATTTAAACATTAGACTTTGATTAAAAGATTCATTATTTAATGCATTGAAATATAATGAAAGCATTTGTTCTGCACATGAATGAAATTGTCCTGGTGTACCAGATATTACTTCAAATAATAATTTACCACATCCTGATATTGCATTAGAATTATTTTTCAAAATATGTAATATTGTTTTTAAGAAAGAATCTTTATCTTTAATTTTGCGTACCACAAATGCAAAACTTTCAGCTGCAAAACTATTTACATAAGCTGGTTGCGTATCTGCTAATAATGGCAACAAAAGATCAAATACAGTTTTTATATTTTGAATCAGATATCTCCATAAAAATTTAAATAAATAAGCTAGTGATGTAAATGTATACTCTATTTGTTCTGTATCCTTTGTTCGTAATAAATCAATAATAACAATTAAACATCTAGGAAAATATTCATAAAAATCTTTTTGCAAATCTTTTGATACAGCCACTACTAATCTGCAATAAAAAATATGATTATATGATTAATAAATATATATTTTTAATATATATATATTTTTTTTAATCTTTCTTTTTATTGTTTTTCAACTTTATTAATTGATAAAATGATAATTAACTTTTAATACAATACTTACTCTAAAATTGGTTGTAAAAACAAAATATCTCTTTTCTCTAAATATTCTATTAACGTATCTACTACGAATTGCTTTTGATTAATCAATTGAGGAAGAGTTACGATATTACGAACTTTCTTTTTAAAACTGCAATAACCTTCTGTAAGGTTAAGAAAATTCCATTTTTGAAGTGTTTGATAAAAATAAGTTTCGGCTTCTTCATCATTTTCCTCGTTTCGATGTGAAACATAATGAAATATATCAACATCGATTTCATTTATTCTTTCGGAAAATGTTTTAAACTATATAAAAAAAATACCAAAAATATTGTATTAAATATTGTATATTACATTAAAAAAAATACTTTTTTTTTATTTTTATACTATATTTGAAATATATTTGCTTCATATTTTATACCTGAAATGTATTTAATTCTTTATGACGGACTGGTTTATTTTTCATATTGAAATATGAAACACGTGTATTTGTCACATACAGGAACAAGGAATAAATATATCTTAGATAGGAAATGTTCCTATAAATTTGAAAGGGAACAATATTTATATTTAAGAAAGAATATTACATTTTATTTATTATACAATTTTACATATCTATTTAATATTTTATTTAAATCAAATTAATTTTTCAATTGCGGAAATTATTTTTTTCAAATTTTTATAAAAATATAAAATCGAATTAATTTTATATTAATTGATATATTTTAAACATTAATGATATCTAAAATTAAATATTATTTAAATATTAATGATATCTAAAAAAAACTTTTAATTTCTTCACAATGTAAAATATACAAAATTTTATAAGATTTTATAACTATAGAATATTTTTATCTAATTCTATCCTTAGTTCTATCTTTATTCTCTATAGTTCTTTATGGCATATGTATATAAAAGTAAATAGTATAAAAGTATATTTAGTTAATATTTACGTACCAATCTTGTTTATATCTATTCAAGTTACTAGAGTTGATAATAAATTCATATATTGATATTTTTTCATATTATTCATATTTAATACAATTGTGATTTATGGAATACAAATATTGAATAGGATCATTTTTTTTTGTTATTAATATAGTACAAAAATACTTTTTGTAAACAATCATAAAAGTATTTATTTATTTATATTTATATTATATATAAAATATTTTTTCATGTATTAATTTATTTATTATTAGCATGTATTAACTTATAATTGTTTTTTAAGGCTATGAGCATTTATGAATGTTGTTTATATTTATGGTATAAATAATTATATACATTTAATGTAAGATGTAATATTAATATAATATTATTAGTTTAAAGTTATATTTACAATAAATAATCACAATAAATATATAAATATAAATATATAAAATTATGATTTTTTTCTTAATTAAAATAGATGAGTAATTCAGAGGAGAATAAAGTAAAATTTAAAAAAAAATATAAGAAAGCATTAAGAAAACGACAAGTTTTATCGGATGAAGATGATAATGAAGATGAAGAAATATCTATTAGGTAAATTATTATATTTAATGATAAATAATTATTTTAAATAAATGTAGAATAATTATTTTATTGAGAAATATTATAAAATTATTTCATTAAAATAAAAATATATATGTTTAGAGAAAAAGTTGAAGAAATGAAAATTATACAGAAACTTCGTGAACGACCAAAAGGTGTTAATGTCGTTGGATTAGCCCTTGGAGAAAATGTAACACCTGATGTAATAATGGTAATAATGATATTATTATAATTAATAAACAAAATATAGAAAATTTTTTTCTAAGGAATTTTTTTTTCTAGTCAGATCCATTTAATGTAAAAACTGGAGGAATGGTAAATATGGCAGCATTGAAAAATACAAAATTAAAACAAAATGATGCATATGAAACTGGAATTGGAACACAATTTAATGCAGAAACTAATAAACGAGATGAAGATGAAGAAATGTGAATATTATAATTATGATGTATATTTAATTCATTAAATAGATAATTAAACATTTCTAATTTGATTAGGGTAAAATATATTGAAGAAGAATTATCAAAAAGAAAAAGTAAAAATGAGGACAAAACAGAAAATGGATTAAATAATGATAAAGGATCTTATTGTTCACCAGAAGAAGCAGCTTTGCAAGCAGTACCTGAACATTTAAGACAAAGTTCTGCACATAGAAGTGAAGAAATGCTTTCAAATCAAATGTTATCTGGTATACCAGAAGTAGATCTTGGAATAGAGTATGTTAGAATATGTTTTAATACATTTTTTTATTTTTTAAAATTTTTATGTTTCAATTTTTTAACAAATTGCATATAAAAGTATTTCCTTCTAAAACATAAAATACATTTTTAGGGCAAAGATTCGTAATATTGAAGCTACAGAAGAAGCTAAGTTAAAATTGCTTTGGGATAGACATAGAAAAAAGGATGGTCCCTCACAATTTGTACCAACAAATATGGCTGTGAATTTCGTACAACATAATAGATGTATATTATTTATTTAATTTCTTATTTTATTTATTTTATAAATCATTATAATATATAAATATAATTTTTTCATATTTTTTTTAGTTAATATAGAAGATACAGATTTCCAGAAATCAAAACAAGATTCTGATGATAGGAAAAAGATAATAGCTCCCAGAGACGATTATAAAGGGAAAAGAAAAGACAATGGAGAAAAGGCAACTGATGATTATCATTATGAAAGATTCAAGAAGCAATTTAGACGATTTTAATATTATTAATATAGAAATAAATAAGAATTATGATTTATTATTTCTGTTATATAATATATGTAAAATAAATTTTAATCAATATTTTAAAAATGATTATTTAAAATAAAATATAAATTAAAATATAAATCTAAAAACTTAAGCATATGTATCTATGAATTATTGTAAACGCGGCATAAATTCAGATATCATCTCGCAGAATGACAACACTGTAGCGACATCAATTGACTATAGAGGGATTACACTAAAATTCGATCCATTTTAAATTTGCAATAACTATTGTTTTTTTTAAAATTGTGAATATGAGTTGTGGATTCGTTACTTGTGGTCCAAACGAAGCTCTCGTAGTATCTGGTAATTATATAAAATGATTTATATTGTAAATTATTTTCTTTTTCATATTGAATATAACATGGGAGGAGCACTTTGTCAATTAATTGATTGGAAGAGTTCATCATAAAGTAGAAAAATTAATTATGTAATATATTGATTAATTAATTTTGTATATTTAATATTGAGATATAATATTGTATATATATATATAAATATATAATTTAATTATATATTTATTCCTTTATATCTTTTTGTAAAATGCTAGAATTAAATGCTATATTTAAATATTAATATAAAATTTTATACATAATATATAGTATATTATTATTGTATATTGATAATTTTTTTTCTTTAGGATGTTGTTATAGCAAGCCTTTATTAGTACCTGGAGGTAGAGTATTTGTTTGGCCTATTGTTCAACAAGTACAAAAGTAAGTAAATTATTATATTTATATAAAATAAATAAATATTTAAATTGAATTTTTTTATATTAGAAAACCATTTAACAAATATTTAATAATTGTAATATGCTATCTTATATAAATTTTATATTTTCTAGAATTTCATTAAATACTATGACTTTACAAGTAGAAAGTCCAACTGTATATACTTGTCAAGGTGTACCAATATCTGTAACAGGAATTGCACAGGTAAAAGTGAAAAATATGTATTTTTAAATATAAATAAATTTAAATAAAAATATGTTTTATAATTAAAATTTAAATATGAAATAAGTAAATATGAATAAATAAATATCTATATTACAATTATTTAATTATTATAAAATATAATTATATATTATATATAATATATATATATATATATATATATATATATATATAATATAATTATATATTAATATAATTTAATTATCTATTTACAAAATATTTAAATATATATTCAAAGGTTAAAATACAAGGACAAAATGAAGAAATGTTATCTACAGCATGTGAACAATTTCTTGGAAAAACTGAAGAAGAAATTCATAATATTGCACTTGTAACATTAGAAGGACATCAACGAGCAATAATGGGAAGCATGACTGTAGAGGTAATAATAAGATATGTTAAATTTAAATATTATTATATTATTATTATAAAAAATAAATATTAATTTTATTTAATTTCTTATGTTTTTGTATCATATAGGAAATATATAAAGATCGTAAAAAATTTAGCAAAGAAGTTTTTGAAGTAGCAAGCAGTGATCTAGTCAATATGGGCATTACTGTTGTATCCTATACATTAAAAGATATTCGAGATGAAGAAGTAAGTTAATCTTTTTCTCTTTATTAAAAAATATTTAATTTTGATTGAATTTAAGGAGAATTTTTATGCAAAAAATACAAAACAATTGAAAGTAATAAAATATAGTATATATTTACATATATGTGAAATCTTTTTGGTATCAAAAGTCCCCCTTTAGATGATTGTGAGATACTTATAATTAATTTTTTATTATATGAGTTAATGTAGTCCAATTTTTATACATTGTAAATTGAATACATTTTTGTTTTGCTACTTGCAGGGGGCAAAGGTACGTTCAAATTTTGTTTTATCACTACATATAATGCCACTGCACTGCTGTTCAAACAATATTAGTACAAATCATTAACAATTCGAATAAAAGGGAATTAGAACATATCTCAAATGCTTGCTTAAATGGTAGCACAAATATTGTACACATTTGCAAATTTCTGTGTTTCAAATATGTGTGATATTCTTATTGTATGCTGTCTTTCTGTAATTCAGGTTGAATTTAAAGTAATTGCTAAAATGAATGTTATTATGCAAAATTTATAATGAAAATATAATATTATTAATTGTAGTATTATATATTTAATGATCATTTATAGGGATATTTAAAAGCTCTTGGAATGGCCCGAACTGCTGAAGTAAAACGTGATGCAAGAATTGGTGAAGCAGAAGCTCGTAGAGATGCTCAAATTCGTGAAGCTATTGCTGAAGAACAAAGAATGGCTGCTCGTTTTCTTAATGATACTGAGATTGCTAAAGCACAGCGTGATTTTGAATTAAAAAAAGCTGCATATGATGTTGAAGTACAAACTAAAGTAAGTTTCTTATTTATGTTATTGTTTAAATAAATATATTGTTTTTTTTTTTGGAAATTTTTGTCATGTGTATTTTAATTATAGAAAGCAGAAGCAGAAATGGCATTTGAATTGCAAGCTGCGAAAACTAAACAAAGAATTATGGAAGAACAAATGCAAATAAAAGTAGTTGAACGTGGACAAGAAATTGCAGTACAAGAACAAGAAATGATGAGACGTGAACGAGAACTGGATGCAACTGTTCGACGTCCTGCTGATGCAGAAAAATATAGGTAAGATAATTAACATTAAATAAATATTAATAAACAACTTATTAAAATACTAAACAATTTATTAAAATATGTCTACAGATTAGAAAAAATGGCTGAAGCTAATAAAATGCGTTTAGTAATGGAAGCTGAAGCTGAAGCAGAAGCTATCAAAATTCGTGGCGAAGCAGAAGCATATGCTATTAAAGCAAAAGCTACAGCAGAAGCAGAACAAATGGCAAAAAAAGCTGCTGCATGGAATGAATATAAAAGTGCTGCTATGATTGATATGATGCTGGATACGCTTCCAAAAGTAATTTAAAAAAATTTAGATTTTTTTTTTTAGCTAAATGTCTTTTATATTATTTCTTTTTAATCTTATATTTTTTTAGGTTGCAGCTGAAGTTGCAGCACCTTTATCACAAGCAAAGAAAATAACAATGGTTTCTAGTGGAAATGGAACTATCGGAGCAGAAAAATTAACTGAAGAAGTATTTAATATAGTAACACGTGTACCAGAATTGGTTAAGAATTTAACAGGCGTGGATATTGCAAAAGTATGCTTAATTAAAATTAATATTTATAATATATCAATAGAAAAAATTTCCTAATTATAATTTTTTTTTTCAGTCTGTTCATGCAGCTTAATCAAATGGTACAAAAATTTTGAATTTCTTACATTCACTATTAAATATTGAAATATAGAATGAATCTTTGATATACACATTTATTTTAATATACTGTTGCATATTAAAATGCAACTTATAAATTTTAACTTAACTGATATTTTGTTGGACAACAAGTTCGGTATTTTCACTGCCAATTAATTAAAGATCATTTTTCATAGTGCCAATTTTGAATGAATATTTTCAAAAGAAGTATATTTAAATTGATATATATTATTAAAAATAAATTATATAATTATTATAAATTGTGAATATATTCGCACAATATTCGCATATATATATTTGATCATTTTAATTTTATACAATAGATAACAATGCCTAAATTATATACAGGCAGTGAATAATTTTATTTGATTTATATTGAAGATTTATTATAATATCATTTTCATTTTTATATATAATAATAAGTTAAATTCGTATTAAAATTTTATGTTTATTATATTTTTTAACAAATTTTATTCACGTTTATTATTTTTTAACAAATATTTTATTCATTTAGGAATAAAAGAGAAAAAAATATAAATATATCCTTTTGAATCTCATATTGATTCAAGATATATTGATATATTGATTCAATATTAGTTCAGTCTTGTCCATAATTTTGCCATTATGTGCCGAAACATTCCACTAAATATGCTGTGTGTACTTTTCAACTCTATTGATATAATTAACAAGTATGACCATTTTAGAATTGAAACAATTATTATTCTATATTTATTCAATGTGGTTTGATGTAAAGTATTTTTATCTAGTCTCTCAAATTAAAAATATTTTTACTTAATGTTTAATTATATATATTTTCTTCCTCTGAAAATATATTAATATATTTGCGTCGATTTTAGCTTAGAATTTACTGTGATCTGAAACTCTTTGTACGAAAAAAGTTAGTCATAGTTCTTAAAACAAATTTGAATGCTTTAATGATAAAATTTGTATGACCAATTTAACGCCTTAAATTAATGAAAAAAAAATTTAATTTTATGTAAAAACGATTAAACGTTAACATCAAATTTTTTGTGTATTCATTTACCTTTCCCATTATTATAAGTACATCAAAAACAAAATAAAAAAAACAATAGAAGTTACAAATGAAATTGTTGTAAAAAAAGCTCATGTCAGATGTTGGTTAATATTTATTTGTAAAAGTCTTATATTTTCAATATGTTGTTCATTATTTGTGTATAAATAAAGTTATAAAATTATTTGATTTATAAAATTATGTTAACATTATAATGTAACGTGTATTATAACATGATTTATAATTTAAATCAGTTTCATATTTGCAAATTGCAATTTTTCTCTGAAGATGCATATATTTCTTAAAAATTTATAATATGGATGCATATAAGTCATTTTTAATTGATTTTTTAGCTGGTGGAATATCTGCAGCTGTATCAAAAACTGCAGTTGCACCATTAGAAAGAGTAAAGTTATTACTCCAAGTTCAACATACTTCAAAACAAATAAGACCAGAAGATCGGTATAAAGGTATATTTTTTCAATATAAATTAAAATAATATTTTTATATCTTTTAATTTTATTAGGTATGATGGATGCATTCATTCGCATACCAAAAGAAACTGGTTTCCTTAGTTTTTGGAGAGGGAATCTAGCTAATGTAATTCGGTATTTCCCAACTCAAGCTTTAAATTTTGCATTTAAAGACAAATTCAAAGCTTTATTCTTAGAAGGTGTCCCAAAAGATGCATTTTGGAGACAATTAGCAGGAAATTTAGCTTCTGGTGGAGCTGCTGGAGCAACATCTCTTTTATTTGTATATCCACTTGATTTTGCTCGTACAAGGTATTATAATTGTTATGTATATAAATAGTATAGATATATTAAAACATAAATATATTTTATAGATTAGCTGCAGACATTGGAAAAGGAGAGAAAAGAGAATTCAAAGGTCTAGGTGATTGTATAATAAAAATTTTCAAATCAGATGGCGTTTTTGGTTTATATCGAGGCTTTAATGTGAGTGTTCAAGGAATTATTATTTATAGAGCAGCATATTTTGGTTTTTATGATACTTCAAAAAACTTACTACCTGATCCAAAAAAAACTCCTTTGCACATTACCTTTTTAATTGCACAAGTAAGTTGTTTACTATTTTCAAATTTTTATACATTATAATTAATAATATTAATATTAATATTATTTATAGACAGTAACAACATTAGCTGGAATCATATCATACCCTTTTGATACAGTTAGAAGACGTATGATGATGCAATCCGGACTTAAAAGAGCAGAAGTCATGTATAAAAATACATTAGATTGTTGGATTAAAACAGCTAAGACAGAAGGTATTGGAGCTTTTTTTAAAGGTTCACTTTCGAATATTCTTAGAGGAACTGGTGGAGCATTAGTTTTAACATTATATGATTCAATTAAAGATATGCTTGAAAAAAGTTTACGTGCAGAATCTGATTCTGTTCCCAAAGAATGATATTTCAATATTAAAATTTTAAACAATTTTAAAAAAGAAATTAATTTAAATAAGTAAAATCGTTCATTAATATTGATTTTTCTACAAATTAAATGTATATTAAGTAAATCAATTATTCGTACTATGGAAATTGTAATTGTATAAATTCAAATTATTTATGTTTGTATTAATGCAACTTATTATTACTACATTATTATTTACATAACATTTCATAAATATCACTCTGTAAAATATTTCAATTCATTTTTAAATAAATATTTCATAAAAAAATACACTTAATATATATATTAATAAAAATAATGCATTTTAATCCCTTATTTATTTGAAAAAATTTAGAAATTATTAGTTATATATTTGGTGCAATCAATATCAATATAGTATCAATATAGTATCCTTGATCACATTTTCTACAATATTATATCATATTATTAATTTTTAATCATTTAATACATTTGTAAAATAATTTAAAAAAAATTTATTATGCATTAAATTAATTAATTAAATTGTAAATGCTATCAAATAAATATCACAGTCATTATATTGTTATCTGATATATTTAATTCTATTTATAAACAAAACTGCATAGTTCAATTAAGCATAGTATGTCGATCATAAATATTACGTCTCTGCTCTCTAACTTGACGTTTCCATTTATCTTGTTGATGACCAACACGATTTAGAACATTACCTCTTTCACCCATAGCATGAAATGTTCCAGGAGCTGTTGAAGAATCATCCTATCAAAACAAAAATGATACAAATGATTATTATATATTTATTAAATATATATTATTTGATATCTTTTAATTACTAATAATAAATTTTATCATAACATACATCTTCATTATTGTGTTCATGGTAACCAATATTTGTTGAAGCTTTATGAATCCTTTTATTCAATAATGGATCCAAACAAATCAAAAATAACATGTAAATTACCAACAGAGATATAACCCAAATAACAAGTATTACCACTATCTGAAAATATAAATTATTTAAAAATTTTGTTTATTTTAAAATTTTGTTTATTCTATTAAATTAAATATAATAAAATTTACTTTAATAATAGTGGTGTTTCTATTTTCATATTTGCAATCACATCTTGAACAAAATATTTCTTCTTTACCTTTCAATTGATCCCCTACTTTTGACAACACAACATTTTCACACTTACTGTGGATTGAAATTTAAATCAAGATATATTATATTAATTTCATTTTATATATGTTATATAAAATTAAATCTTTTAATTAAAGATTTCGATTACCATTCAGAAGGTGGAACATTTATAATATATGTTTTTCGTTCTGATGATGATTGCGTTGTATTTATAACAGAGGGAAGACTAGGACAAATACATTTACATCGTTTATCATCATATTGCGCCTATAATTATACAAATTATATATTACAATAATTAAATTTTATTATTTTATAAATTTCTAACCTTAGATTCTGATAAACATATTAATATAATTGCAGTTACACGAAAAATGTGTTTCAACATTATGTGATCATACAGTTTTCATTCAATATATGTTCTGATTATTTTGATATATTCAATTTATTAGCACAAATATATTTTCAAACAAAACAATTAATATAGTTCCATCTTAAATGAATTAATCACTCCATCTCTAAACTATCAAATGATACAAAAGTAATTGTAACTATCTTATATTACTGTTGGTATTGGTAGAGAAACTAGAATATAGTGATGAAATTAAATACTAAGAAAAGAATAGAGATAGATAAAAATACTGAAATCAGTGTCATTTTCAGAATACTACGAATAAAATTCATCAAAAAAGAATAGAAAATAATAGATAAAAGATAGAATTGATCGTTAATGCCATTTATTTTGTTAGATAAAAAGATAATTCTTTGAAGAAATATCTTTAGTACAAAAATTAGTGCTGATAATAAATTTATTCTATTTCTATTTTTTTCTTTCTATTTTCTGTTTTTTTTTTTTTTTGTAAATTTTATTTGTAATATTTTGAAAATGATTTCGATATTTTTATTATTCTATTTCTTTTCCTATTATTTGTTTTTTAGTTTACAAAATTTATATCAAGATTTTATTCATGATTTTAAATTATACAGAATAATATCAAACGTTTTTTTTTTACAATTTATATTTCAAAACATGAGACAAAATTTCATTAAATGTTAAGTTTATCCCATATCTCATTTATAATGCTATTTACGCGAAGTTTGATATCAAATTAATATATATTCATTAATATATATATCATTAATTTTAATCCATAAGATATGTATTTAAAAAAAATAAAATAAATTTATTGAACATATATTTTAAATATTAATTTAAATATTATATTACATAATACATTAATTAAACATAATAAAAAAATACAATTTTTTTTAAATAATTTAATAATTTTCAAATTTATATTAATTAATTTATAATATTAATTATACAGGAAAATTTTGTTTCAATATGATATATGTAATTCATTTTACATGACTTAATATATATTTGTTAAAATAAATCAGTATTCTTAAATATAATAAAATTATCTTACATTGATTTTTCATTGTTACTTCATATTTGCATTAATTCTTTATTTTGATGTTTACAGATAAGAACAATTTTCATAGGACATTCAAAACTTTTATACTATACAATGATTACCAATTCATTCATTCTATATTTATTCATACAAGTCACACAAAATACAATTTTTAAAATGCACACTGACATCATTTAAAATATGAATCATCTTATTCTTTGAGTATACTTCATAAAATTATGTGAAATATTAATCACTATATCATGAATAGATTTGTGTATGTGTGTATATATATATATATATATATATATATATATAATATTTTTTTTATATGTATATTTATGCACTAATATTACACAATGAGTAATGAAACGTACAAATGGAGTGGGCAGTCTTAGACTTGCCATTGCACATTTTATTTGTAAAATAAATCTTGCACCATTTATTATCACAATTATGAAAATGTTATTAATAAGATATAGTATGATGCAAGTCTTTTTTGTTACATTCGTTTTCACAGAGTACTACACTTCTATAGTACTACATTTTTTTTTAATTATAAAGCGATTTTAATTAAATCAAAAGTTTTTTCAGGAAATATATATATACCAAATATGGTATCTTGCAATTAAAATGCAACTATATCTTTATCATTTTATTCATTTTATAAAATATTTAAGAACTTTGCCAAGCAATGATTCCAATTAATATAAATAGTACAATCGCTCCAATGAGAACTAATATACATTTTTTCTTGCGCAATTTATTTTGATATATACTTGCTTGTCTAACATGTGAAGTAGCTTCATTGACTGATACTTCTGTTCTTTCAACAGATGCTTCTATAGAATCAATAACTTCTCCTTGATTATATACTATAGTACCAAGATCTTTGAAAATTTGATTGATATCGCTAATATTATTCTGTAAATATGTTCATTATTATATTGATTGAAAAAATTAATAAGATATTATTAGAATGCAAAAATATACCTCCAACTGTCTTATACTTGCTTCCTGTTCTTCCAACATTCGCAAATTTTGTTCTTCTTGTAATTGTTGTTGCTGAATTTGTTTCTGAGTTCTACTATCTTGTAACTCTATTAATGTCTCTTGTTTTTTTTCTCCAAATGGAGTAATACCTGCACTTGCTTTTGCTCTTCTAACCATTTCTTTCTCTTTGGAAGCTGCAAGTCTTTGCACTGCCTAAAAAATTGAATTTATATATAAAGATATAAATTGTTATAAAAATAAAGCATATTTACAAACATACTTGGAAAGAATTTAATGCACTTGTAAATTCATCTTGTAGACGTTCTCTTTGCATCTTACGTTGTCTTTGTTCTCCAGGACTAGTAGATCCTGAATTATTAGATAATATAGCTAAATCTCGAAGATGTACACTAGTATCTTTTGCCAGCTGTTGTGTGTAATGTTGTATTTGATGTCTAAAATATATATAAAAAATCATTTTTACAAACTCATAAAATATATATTTGAATATTATTTATACAAAATATTATTAAATGAAATCTTACAATTGATTTCGTAGTTCTTGAGAATCTGTAGAGCTGCCCAATTGATTGACCATTTTTTGCATAGAAGACACTATTAAATATAAATTAAAATGAATATTGAATATATTTTCAAATAAATAAATTCCACTTACCATTTTGAGATATCTTCAAAATAGATGTACCAATGGTCTGAGATAGCCTACCAAAATCTTGTTCTCTTGTAGGACCACCATTGTGGTATGATGAAAATCCAATATCCATATTAACTTTTGTGTTATTTAAAAAAAATTAACAATATTGAAAATTATTCTATATGTGATAGTAACCTCCTTAATAGAGGTTAATCGTTCACTGATTAACTAAGGTACATTCGTAAAAAAAAATCACTTTTTTTATGTACACTTCTCTGAATATATCAGATTTTAAGAAACACCGTCTGTAATAATAAGATATGCATATTCTTTTGTTCGTTGATTTATAACATTTAAAATAGAGAACTTACGTTTTGTTAAGAATCACATAAACGAAGAATACGATGACAGTTCTAATGTCAAAGATGATAAAGTATTGTTATCTATTCTCGTATCCCACCACTGTCAATAAAATGACTAACAAGATAATTGGTTTGCAAAATGAATTATATAATTATCGTAAAAAATTAATAATTTCTTTTACAAAGATTATATATATCGATCTATATTTTCTTGTTCGAAATAAATCGAATATATGAATAAATGAACGAAATAAAATAGAGTTCACTATGTGAAGCTCTAAAACTACGTATAAATCGATAAGCCTAAGCCAAGTTTAAATGAATATAGTCGTCACTTCGTTACTGTTTGTCACAATATATACATTGTTCTATTTACGAAATTATATCAAGTTAAATAAAATATGCCTATTCGAATTGAAAAAATGCCATTATGTGAAACCATTTTCGCAGTTATTTATCGAGAAATTAAAATAATTCTAATAAAATTCTTTAAAAAAAAATTTTTAAATGCATGTATATGATCATTAAATATACTCTAATATTTATTTTTCCACTATTTTTAATTTTTGCTTGTTCCATTAAAAATATCTTCAGTTATCGTTGTATTTTTTATTACAAGATTTCGTTTCAAGAATTTCAGAAAGCAATTTTCAAAATCTGAAATTTTGAAAATATTTTTATAAAATATGTAATATTAAAAAATAACAACAAAAAAAGAATTAAAAATAATATAAAAATTTAAGTATCGTAAAATTTTTATTAAATTATATAGATATTTGTTATAATGCTCTTTTATATTTGTTTATAAACTATTCTTATATTATATATAATAATAAATATTTTATTCTATTTATAAATTATATTGATCATTATTTTTAATATTTAAAAAATATAATATACAAAAATATTTACAAAAAAACAAATGAACGTTTATTACATTAATAATATATTGATAGAAAAATAAATTTTACTTATAATCACTTATAATCAAATTGAGGAACTTAATTAACATATATGTGATTCATAAATTAGAAAAAAATAATATATTTAAAAAATTATCATGTTTGTTCTCTAGAAATTTAAAATAAACATAATGACATAAAAATATTTTAGATATTTAGATATCATTATAAAAATATTGTGACATGAATTATTTTTGTAATTGATTAAACATGAATCTTTTACCATTCAAAATTCACGATCTAAAATGAATTTATATTTATATTAATTAATTTACTTATTAAAATATTTGATAAACAAATTGTAATAAATCGAAAGATTTATTACAATAATAATATTTAATAATATTTATATTTAAATAATAATATTTTTACGTATAAAATTTTTACGTAACAATAATTGTATTACTTAAATTTTAAAAATTTTTATCAAAACTACGCTATAGAAACAAGTACAATGATATCATTACACATATCATATAAACAAAAATTTGTTATATATAAATAATATAAACAAAAAAATTTTAATTCATCCAAATATTTCAAGATTGAGAAATTTATAAAAATCTTCAATTATAAAATTTTTTTATAATTTTATTATAGGACATGGTAAAAATATATTTATATCTTAATTTTCAAAACATTCATCTCTTGTCATGATTTTAGTAAAACTATATTAATTAATATTTTGAACTAATTATTATTTTTATGAATCAAATACATATACAGCATTATTATTCGCATGAATCAATATAAATAATAATGTTTATTTTTTTTTTTTATTATCTTTCGAATTGCTATATATCAAATTGGCATTTACAAGAAATTATTGTTAGAAAGATTTTTATCATTAATTGTAAGACATCATATTTTTAATAGTTTTTATAAATTTGTTCATTATTTAGAGCAACATTTTTCAAACATTATTGTTTGAATGTATAAAAAAGTAATTTATAATAATAATAATAATATTTTACATAAATTTTTATGTAAAATCACATTTTATATGTAAATTAATATTTTTACAAATTAGAAAATGTCAATAAGAGAGAGAGGGAGAGGAGGAAGTTTTAAATGCATTAATGTATAAAGTTATTCTTAACATTTATATATACTGATTGAATAAAATTTTTAAAAAATAAAAAAAAAAAATTCTCTAAAATTGATTTCTTCTATTTATAATTTAATGATATCATTCTGTTGATAATTTAGCTTATATAGCATATGATTGCAAGCATATTTCACATATAAACTCAATTTAATAATTTGAGGTATTCCATAATGATGCAATCATTGATTGCGTTATTTTTTTTAATTTCTTTGGTTTTTTAGATTTTCTTTGGTTTTTTCCTATCTCTCTGTGCGTTCATTTAGATATTTATTATCTCATTTTTCACATAATCTTCCAGTCAATTCGATTTACGATGAAATAATTGAATAATTAAAGATCAATTTAGTATTTCCATCACAGACTGGTTTCCTCGATAGAATCTGTTCTTTGAAGTTGTCGATTATCGTCGATACCAATAAAATACGTTGTGACTAAACCTTTCGGTTTGACATACGTATCTCCTCGAAGATGGCACTTGACACCTTGTTGTTCAAGAACAGCCGCAGTTTCTGCTGTAATCTGTATAAATAGTTATAGTTTTTATATAAAAAGATGTTAACTTTGTAAAATATATTTTTCAAATAAAAATCTAATTTTAAAAATACCTGTATTTTTCCTGGAACACCTGTTGTATCCATTCTCGACGCCATGTTCACAGCATCGCCCCAGATATCATATAACGGTTTTTGAGCACCTACTACTCCTGCTGTAACTTCACCATGTGATATTCCAATTCTCAATCTAAAATAATATATTTTATAATAAATAAGTAAATAGTTTAATAATTCATAATGTAAATATATACCTGTAAGGTTTAGATGTGTAAAAGGTTCTCATTTTCAATTTATCTAGGACTGCTATCATTTCGACTGCAAATTGAGCCATCACTTTTACCACGTTATCACTAATATTTTCCTTGTTTTCTGGGCTACGCATTGAATCGCGTCGACTAGCTTCTAATCCACAAGCTGCCATATAAGTAGTGCCTAGAAAATAATTGTAATATTATTTTTATTCTATATTTTTGATTCTATTAATTTTATTAATTTTAAATATTGTTATCTAATTACTCACTTTAAATATTGTTGATTAACTACTCACCAGCAATTTTAATTTTTTCAATTCGATTGAAATATGGCTCAAATAGCAATTTGTCAAATTCACATATAATCTCATTTAAGACTGCCAAAGTATTGCTTTCATCGATGGATACATCCGTTAATGAAGCAAACATTACAGCAACGTTACTATGAGCTTCATGATAGGGCTCATTTTCTACTGTTCTATTCATATTCAAGTAGAACTCCGCTGTGTAATATAATTTCTCATTTGTAATTTGTTGAATTACTAATACTAATTTTAATTTTAATTAAAAATTAACTTACCAACATGTTCTGGTAAAATATTACGAAGTAAAAATTTATTAGCATTTCTTGTATGGAATGCTTCATCTTGTTCTTTGGTTAATTGACGTTTCCATAAGTAATCTAATCTATTCAAATATTCTGCCTGAATAAATATTAATTTAGTTAATATATATATATACATATATATGAACATATATTATATTAGAAAAATAATATTTGTTAAATGAGATTTGTTAAATGAGATTTACCTGACGATCTATTAGATGCAAAGAAAAAGTAAGAAAAACTATGCTTAAAATGTGAGCCAGTCTTGGTTCTAAATATGGATTCCATCTGTCGCCTGACTGAGACAAATTATAAATAAAATCACAAAAAATCACAATTGATGCCATCTAATTTAGAAATAAAAAATGCTTATTAAAATTACCTGAAATAAATTTGAACGATATATCCAAACATTCCATGAATAAAATACGACTATTACGATGCCTATTACTAATTTTAAGATATAATGGAGTCTTAAAAACAGAAAACTCGTCAAAATAGCCAAGGAGCAAGTTTGTGTCATTTGCTAGAAATAATTATTAAAATTAAAAATAATATTCAACATTTTAAGAAATTAAACTAAAACAGAATCTACAGCATTCAAGTACCTACTAAACAATCTTACCCAGGGTGTAGCTATGCAATCAATTTTCGAAGTGCCAGGTTCTACTACACTGAATGTTACATTATTACTTGTAAGCTCATTAACATTTTTACATTCAAACTGAAATAATATAATAATTGTATATATTAGTTAATAACACTTAATAAGGTATTTATATTCATTATCAACTTACAATCATATCAAACATGGCACACGCTGCTAACATTAACGTTATTACCAAATACAAAACTGTTCTGAGAAATGCACTCCAAACAACCTAAAGTATAAGGAAATGTTAAATAATTTAAAAATTATGTAAAAAATTAAATAAAAATATTAACCTTTATGCTAGTTTGATATAAGAAACATAATAACTTATTTCGAGGATGCGGAACCTGCCCTTCATGTTCATCATGCGGATCTTTATATCGGTTCCATGCGAAATGCATCCAAGCTATTGGCATTAAAGCGATTAAAAATAACATTGTTGCAGAATAACTAATCGTTGTGCTCAAATGCCATCTAGAAATTAATAAGACTTTATAAATGTTTTTAATTCAATTATATCATTAATTAAAAATTTTATGAATTTTATGAAAAAACATACTTGGAAAGAGAAAATGTAGGTACCAGATATATGAGTCCCATAAAAATTAAGACAAAAAGAGCACAACTAATATAAAATTTAAAAAGTGGATCAGGTTGCTTTAAAAACGGTATTTCCCAACTCCATTGTTGAAATGTTAAAAATAATGGATTCATATCTTTCCAATTGCACCATTGTCTAAAAAATTATTCAAAAATTGATATCTTCTTTCATATTGATGAAATATTAAAATTTAAACAAATCAAAAACAGATATTACTTCCATTTAGTTAAAGGCATTTTTTTAATAGCATGTTCCATCTCTGCATCTGCAGTTTTAAGCATTAGATGATAATCTCGCAAACAGGAATCCATAAAATGTGTACGTCGTCTACATGTGTTGGTGAATACACCAACATGATTACTTATAGTGGCAGTAAGTCGTCTACTGTTTCTCGCACTGGGAGTCATACTGGTACTGGACCGTACATAGAATTTCACATAATGCGTATTAGATAGTGGAGAGGTTTCAGGGGACGGAGTCATGACTGTCAAGGTGTTCTCGCTGTTCTGCAACAAGGTTCGCCTGTCAACGATACGTCAAAGACTCGACGGAAATTCGTTCAATAATTAAAAAAATATGTCAGTGGCGTAGGGATTGTTCGAATGTTGTTAAGTATAAATAAATTTTTTATTTTCGTTAATTCATTCGGATTTCCTACGCCACTGGGAAATATGCACCTGCATAGTCGGAGATTCGAAATCGTCGGGGATCGAAGGTGTAATAAGATAACTTCGAATCCCATATTTTTTGAGAACCTCATCATTCAAAGAATCCACCGGAACGCAATCATATTCGTTGGCATCTACGAGATCCAATGTTTGCTGCGTAATATGAACTTTGCCGGGTTTCCCTGTTTGCTCCATTTTATTAGCTATAACAACATCGCGTGACCAAACATCATACTGCCATTTGCTCACACCTAGAATTCCTGATATTATATTGCCCGAGTGAACTCCTATCCTCATATTTACATCTACACCACTTTCACGTCGTACTTTTGCTCTTACATCTTTAATTATCTTTATCATATCAAGTCCTAGATATAAATAAATTGAATTTTTAATTGTATAAATAATAAAAATGCAAGAAATAGATATTATATATTATTATATATTATAATTATATAATATTATAATTATATAATTATATAATTATATAATTATATAATATATATATTATCTAATATATTATTATATATTAGAATAGAATATATATAGAATATATATATTTTTTAAAACGTATTTACCTAAATCCACACAACTTTTCGCATGTTGAGAATTTGGTGTCGGTACTCCACTTACACAATAATAACAGTCACCTAAAAATTTGATACGCAGAACATTGTGCCTTTCGGAAGCTTCGTCAAAACTACCAAATAAATCATTCAATGTCTCTACTAGTTTCCGCACTGGCAATGTCACAGTCAATCCAGAAAAATTCACAACATCGGCATATAAAATGCTTACATTATTATGGGTTTCGACGCATAAGTCACTGAAAAGCAAGTAACAATGTTTGTATTATAATTTTATGTATTTATAATCAATGATATTTAATTATCACAGAGATACAAAAACTTACCTAGATGGTTTGGGAGGTTTTTTGTGCTCTTCTAAAAATTTAAATATATCTCTAAATTCTTTCTTTATCTTCGCAGCTATATGTTGTGGTAATATACTTCGTGTAAGTTGTTCCTAAAAATTGTTAGTATTTTTTAAAAAATTATCATTGTATTATTTAACGTTCTAACTTTTGTTTATTAAAGTAAAATCATTACTTCTTGATCTTTCTCATAATTCAATCGCAATGTTGATTCCACACATTTTCGATGATCGAGAAATGATCGTCTTGTAACAATTTCATTCATGAATCTAAAATAGAGTCCCAAACCATTCACACAAACAAAATATATCGTGTCCGTAATGATCTAGAAGATTCGTAAAGAAAATTCAAATTTAACAATCAAATAAAGATTAATCTAATTAGAAATTTTATTATACATTTTTAAACATTCTTCAATTAAAAATATTCTGTAAAATAATTTTTACGATTAATTTTCGATTTTAAGAATTTTACCTTCGTACTAAAATCGAATGAATTTCTATAAGTGATTAACGATAAAGCGACTAAGTAGCATGTAGTAGTCGTAATTCCGAGTATGAGAGCATGTAAATTTTTCGTGAGAGGTAGAAAGACATAACATGCCAAGAGCGCGTGAGTCGCGTATGCAGGTCTGTAAAGAAATAAATGCAATTACACATGTTATATAAACGATCACAAGTTCAAAGTTGCGCTTTAATTAGCAGGAAAGATAAAAATGACTCGTAATTAACTTATTATTAAATGCAATCTGTTAATGAGAATTACATATTAATCTAATCTGTACATTGACTAATATTTATTTTATGTTCATCACCTCTTACATAAAAAATTGAAAAAAAAAAGAATCTAACAAAATCCACCAAAATATGTTAAACAAGAAAAATAGAAAAAAAAAAAAATAACATAAGAAAATTTAATAGTGGAAAATTTATTAACTTGATCTCGTTAAAATAATGCAAAATAACAATATTAAATATCAAGCTTCTTTATTTTTTTTTAAAAATCTATTTAAAAGAGAAACAATTGCAAACAAAATTAAAATTTAAACGGAAAACGATCGTCTAGGGAAATATCTTGTGAAACCTGTTACAAAATTATTCCCGTAATGAACGAGATAATATCAATGAGTGGTTTGCCGATTTTTCATAATTGTTGTTTCAAGGAAGTAAGTAATAAAATATAAAAAGTAGTTATAAAACGAACAAAAAACTGACGAAGTTCACCTACGATAATTAAATAGTGGCCTTGCCACGATTAGTCAGGAACTTCTCTGTTCTCTTATCAACGTTACCTTATCGGTGGTGCTTCATCGTTGTATAGAGTGTAATAGAAGGGGACAGCCAAGTCCCCAATTGCTAATAATACCACGATCAGACAGGATAGTATGACCGATAGGTAAGTGTTTCTAATAATGATCTTTGACTTGAACGAAAGTGCAATCACTGGACAGAATAACGCGCTCACTAAAGTGCTGATCACCACATCCGGTACGCAGTTCTCAATGTTGACCTATGAAAAAAAAATAGAATACATTCAGTGTCTTTTTCTTTGTCTTTTTTACTGAATATTTTATTTCAATATTTGATGATAAAAATGTATTTTTAATCAAGTAAATAACTGTAATCTACTAGTAATAATATATATACTGCAATCTATTAATAGAACTAAAATATTTGATCGCTCCAATAAAAAATTATCGATTCAATAAGAATTGCGCTTATGACCAAATTGTATTAGAAATAATTCCAAGAATAATGATAATAATATTATTTAAAAATTATATAATTAATTTCGATAAGTTACTCAGTTTTTATTATTTATTATTCTAAATAAAAAAATAAATAACGAAAGATATATTATTGTTTTATACATTAACAACAATATTATTTTTCATTATTATTTATTTTAACAAATAAATCTTAATGTTATTTGAATAAACATAAAATTATGACTTCATCATAACTTTGTATTATTTCATATGATTTTTTTATATAATTAAACAGAATTAAACACGAAAAAAAAAATTTAATTAATATAATTTATTTTAGTTGGCGAATAGGAAATTCATGGATTTCAATTGGAATACCTAGTTTGAAGCGAAGCATCTCATTATTTTGCTTACCATTGTTATCAGAATCAAGCAATATGTGAATCCGAGGGCCAATTGCAAGAGAACAAAAAGCGATAGATAACCATACTGAATCCTCCTTTGGTAAACCGTGAACAGCTTCTCTAGGTTTTTGTATTTGAATTGTGTCTAAAAGTGAAAGTGCACGTGAGATTATGTATTCGATATGCGACTGGATAGTTGTTTGAACTTTCTAGTCGATTAATAATCATTGTCATCATCGTAATGATATTTTCAACAATGATTTAATTGAGTTTTTATGAGAATAACAATTAGAAATAGAATTGATAAATTAATTAAAAAATTTTAAAAGAGAGAGAATACCCATATTTTTCAAAGGATTATCACTCACAACTCACAACTGAAACTATATGTACATTATATTTAGATTTACGAATTCATTACTCGATGATTAATAAATACTGAAAACAATGCAATATATATATATTTGCGATACATTTTCTCAACTTTCATCCATGATCATTTTAATTTTTTGGGAATCCACGATTACCTTCAAAATGAGGAAATAAAAATTATAAATAATGATAAAATATCAAAATAAATATGTGTATAATAATAAAAAAAGAAAAACAATTTTAAATATCAAGTGTTCGAACAAACGCAAGTGTTTCATTACTGTCGTTCGTTTGTTTAAAACGAGACTGTGTACTTATGATCGAGGAATAAATACATTAAAGAAAGAAAAATACTATTTTAAATCGATGATATTATTATATATGGAATAAAACTTGTTTTACATTATTTTAAAATTATAAATTAAAATGTATTAAAATTTTTTAATTAAAATATATTTTCCTCAGATATAAATACTTATATATATAAAACTTTCTCAGAATTACATATATCATGGATAATATTGTTTCAAATAATCTAAAATTTATATACTATTCACTACTATATAATAAATTCACTATTAAACAAAAAAACATAATCTTTCTTTTGATAAACATAGAAAAGATTGAATATTAAAGAGTCATGAATATCATTGTAAAATTCTAATCGATTCTGGGGGGAAAAAAATAAAAGATCCTTCGGCGTTAACCTACGCTTTGAATATGGAATTATATGCAACTACGTCTCAGAAACATATATCATTGCACGATATTCACTTAAAGATGTTACAAAAAACACAAATAACGATATTAGAAACTAAAAATATTATTATTATATATTATTATATAATATTATTATATAAAAATATTATTAAAATTCGATAAAACACTCTTAATAAATCACTTAGTAAAAAATCACACACCTTCGATTCCGAAAATATTTCTTCTTTTTCTTTCAATTTTACTAAACGATAAACAATCCGTTTAAATAATTTTAAATCTCGTCGAATGAACTAAATATAATATGCAAACAATGGTTTCATATAATTCGATCCTCGAATAAGATAAATGATAAAGATCACTGTTTCATTGATGATTTAAGAAACCTCGGAGTTAGCACAAACGCGCGCGTATCTCCGGTAGCTACCGGCTGTCTGATGCTAAATCGACGCGTGCATGGTAGCTAACGTGAATTAAGCTGCTCGTAAACTATGATAAAAATCGGACAGAGTATTGCGGGGCGCAGTCGCGCCACTACACGTTGTGTCTCTTTTTTCACGATTTCCTGCCACACCAGAGTACCAGAGCTCGCCGAAGCTCTCGAAACTCTCTCCACCGGGAAATGAACGAATTTCCTTTCGTCTGCATTTCGCGCGTGCGTTTTCACATTCCGACTCGGCCGCGAAGCTTTCGTCCGGTCCGGTGAATATTGATCTTCAATCTCGAACTCTCGGGTCCAACCATCTTTATTCCCATCTCTTTTCTCCTTTCTAATCATCGTAATATAGGTACGTTTGTTCCTCGATTACGATAGGGCGGGAAGAAAATTTATTCATTATTATGTATATACTCACTGAAGATCTGAAAATTCATATAATAAAATTTTTAAAATAAAAGATGAATCTTATGTATGTACATTCCCATAGATTCACTTGTACAATTTTTCCAAAAAAAATTTGATTGATTTTTTAAGAAGAAATTTGATCTGTAAATTTGTAAGATAATTAATGTTAAGTGTTAAATCATTAATTACGCAAAAGTACAGAAAGATTTAAGATTATTTATGAAAATTTTCGCGAATTAAAAACATTCTTTAGAAAAAAATTTCATTTTTGTATAAAATATTAATTTTATATAGATATAAAATATGATAAGTTTTAAATAAAATCGAATTTTGTGAAGAATCTCATAGATAGAACAGATCAAGAAATATTTAGCATTTCTGTACTTGCAAGTTTAAAACTTTCGATAATGTAAACACATCGATAACGCGAACGCCATAAAAATTGAAAGTTTGTAAAAAGATAAGAAAATATTTTAAAAAAATAATCATTTATTTTTTAAAATTATTTTAAAATTTTATAAAATTATTATTTTTTAAAATTAATTAACTATTTTAGATTATAACTATTATTTTAGACATTTATAAATATATTTTGTTTGTTCGCCTGAATAAATTTTTCGATACTAAAAATATTAGAAAAAAGAAAGGAAAAAATAGAAACTAAATGATAAGCTATAAATGATAAAACGAAACTAAATGATATGATGTCGTAAGGTTTCATTATTAAATGGAAAGAAACGATTATCACGGAAATCTTTTTAGCGCCAGTTTAAATATTCAGATATCAATTCATTTCTTCTCGTCAATTGTATCGAAGGACGCGATCTATATTAAATAAATTTTTCTTTATTTCACTTATCAAGTTTCTTGATATAAGCTTTATATTGTAACAAATATGTTATTCTTACGACCATTCGTCATGTAAAAATACAACTTTTCCTTGTAATCGAATCATAAAAGGAAAAAAAAACATGATATAACATACTACTCTTCAACTTCGCGTGAATGATTGCATAGTTGAAAGTTATCGAGATCTAATTTTTATAGATAAAAAAGACGATAATCAATTGCAATTTAACACAATTATCGACAATATTAGATATAGTATTAGTTTTTTATGCTTAATGCTTCCGTTACTTCTTTTTTTATTTTAATATCGTCCTTATAATTCGATTATCATATGCTTTGGAAATATTTTGTAAAATGTGTGAAACATCGGTAAACGAGTGAAGTTATTTATCTATGATTAGAATAAAATAAAAATGAGAAAAATTACCTTGTAGTCGAAATATATGTGTGTGTGTGTGTGTGTGTGTGTACTGCGAAACACATGAATATTAGATCAAATATGTTGATCTCATTTATATCACAAATAATCAATATGATTATGAAATCTATAAATATAAAATATATCTATAAATATTTTCTGTAAATAAAATTAATAGAATTTCTTCTTCTCTTTTTTAAATTTTAATAAAACTTGCAAATAATTTTTCTCACCTTAATTCGTTTCACATATTAACATGACAATAATATTATTATCAATAATAATAATATTATTATTATTATGATGATTATCTATTATGAAATATCTATATCCGTATAATAAAATATTCTTATATTTGATCAATTAAAATCATTCGTTTGTTAAGCGATCCGCAATAAAATTCTTGATCTCCGATTGTAACTTGTATAAGTGAATATATATATATATATAAAATGTTGGAATATTTAAAACTGAAGATTTCTGAGATAATTTTAAGCAATATTTTCTTTTGCAAAAATTTTTATTATGGTTTTATTAATGAATTATTAACAAAAAATACTAGCCAATCACAGAGCGTGTGCCTAATCACACCACGATAATAGCGTTAGTTATGTACTGCCGACTGAGCACGAACAAGTCCAGGCAACATATCTCGAAGAAAATATATTGAATATTATATTTATTTATTCATAATATAATTCTTTATCAATAAAAATATATTTTTTATATTTAATTCAACATACTTCCTTCGAGATATATTGCTTGGATTTATTTGTGCTCAGTCAGCAACACATATCCAACGCTATTGTTGCAGCTCCACAAGGCTATGCGTTCCATGATTGGTCAGTGTTTTTTTGTCAATAACTCATTAACAGAGCCATAATGAAAGTTTTTACAAAGGAAAATGTTGCCTGAAATTATTTCAAAAATCTCTAATTTAATTTATCAATTTTATATGATACTAATTTACCAATCCATTTTTGAGACACCCTATATATATGTTTTGCCTATCGTCAGTCATGATCACAATTGGCATAAACTTATTGCACTCACTCGCAAGTTAGACCAGGTCCAGTCATCAAGCTTATTCGGTGAAACGATCCGGCCATCATCCACATTGTTCAGAGAATTCAAGGATGCACGAGTAACCAGTTCCACGTCCATTTTCCTCGAGAGACTGATCTCGAGTTCTATCCCTACTTTTCAATCAAAGAGGCATACTCGACGACGATGACCACGATGACAATGATAACGATGAAGACGGTGGCGATCTCACGGTTGTTCGATCCATCGCGGTTACAATCCACGAGCAGACTGATCGTACTGATCGGTAAAAATGACTCACCGAAAGATGATTCTAAGCTTGCTAGCCGTGTACTTACTTCGTGTTTTGTCGTATCGTTTTTAAAGTACTACCGTTATAGCTATGTCGTTTTATCGTGATAAGGGAAATGGGCCACTCAAAACACTGCCTTCCCTCCTTTGTCTATATTTCCCTTTTCATCGTCGTGAATGTTCGTTTAATAAATGAAATACCACGCTTTTTTGAGTTTTTAGTCTTTCAGACACGTACACAGACACGTGATACTATGCTGTCAAAGCGATAAAGCCATTTGCCTGTTGTTCAAGATCACGCTCGTGATTTCATTCTACTAGCTTTTCCTTTTAAGCCATCCAACAATGTTCATCGAATTTTGTCAGTCGGATCCTTTCCGATTCCGCGAAACTTCCTACGTTCATTGCTTAATTTATATATGTGCTTAGTTGGTGATCATTTTTTACTGAAAATAAAATAACAAAGTCATTTGAATATCATGAGATTTTTTATAGAGAGATAATTACTGTAATGTCATGGATTAAAAATACGAATAATAATTTTAGCAACTGTAAAAATTGATTTCCAAAATTATACATAAAAAAATATATGCATGTAGATATATGAAGAATACGGATATTAGTTTTATAATATGTGATTTTAATGACATTTTTCATCAAGATAAACAACTTTCTTTTTCTAGATTCATGCTTAATGCATTTTCATTAAAAATAACTCTATTATTTAGAGAATTTATAGGAACGAAGAATTTTTTCGATATTTTATCAAGTTTGAATTTCATTGTTTCAAATTCGATTAAATTTATTATTAATTCTTGATTAATTTTAATCTCCGATTAATATTCCGACAATGTCTCATTATTAATCGTCTGATCAAATTTCATACAAAGGTATTTGATACGAATCTTATCTATTTATTTTCATAATAATTTCTATTATTATCTTTAACTTTTTCCTATCGAGATTTATAATAAAATAAAAAATATATAAAATATTCATTAATTCATAAATAAGAAAAAAATAATTAAACAATATATATTAAATTAAATTTATCTAATTATTTATTAAAAATAAAAATGATATTTACATGCAACAATTGGTCATTGCGTCTGGCATATAACACTTGAGAGTACTCTTCATTACCGAAAAAGATACTTATATGTATCTATTAAGTTCTAAATTTAATTAAATCCTTGCTGATAAGTGTGAATATTTGTATTTTAATTTATATAAAATAGTTTTCTTTTATATGTAATGTTTTCTTTTATAAACATAAATAAAAAAACAACATTAATTAATAAATTTGTAATTTTTGATATTAATATAAATAATTCATATAAATAATGAATGGAAATATTAAAAATATTGAGAATTTTTAAGTTTTTTACATTTTAAAAATAACAATTATATTATCAATAATATGCAGAAATATAATTAATCTTTATATTTTTAATAAAATTTATAAATATTAAATAATATAAATTGGATGAGATAATCTGATAATAAAAGAAATAATTACTTAAATGTTAGTAGCAATTAAAATATTAAAATTTATTGATAATTAATTAAACTCGTATGGATATAAAAAGTTTAAATATAAATAAAAAATCTAAGTGTAGATTTACTATGTGCGAAGAATCACAAATCATATGCAATAATTAAAAAAATGTGACCTTCCACCGCGAATCTACAACGAATCAGACGTTTTTAATCCTTGCATTTTAATTACATCCTATCTCTTTGTAAACGAATAAGATCGTCAATTTATTCGAATTTTCGGATCGTTTTAACGATCAAAATCAACTAGTCCATTAATTAAATAACTGTCGAAGAAAGAATTCGATTAGTTCATTAAATGATTATTAGTAGATAAATCAATTATTACATGGTTCAAGATATTAAGAGAATTATTTTCTCACTTCATTGTTCATTTATATTGTTCATCCATATATATTCATCACTTAAAGAAAAATTGAAATTATATAATATAATCTATAATTAAACATTTTCACTGACTTTTTTGAAAGAAGACTGATTGATAATCCTATTAGATTAATAATAGAATAATTAAATGATTGATTGAATCATATAATCAATATAAGTAATCATTATTTCTGAATAATTATTGCCAAAATATATATATGCTAAAAAAACATATTTTATTTTGTAATTTTATAACAAGTAATAAAATTACAAAAAATTATTATGATCAAATTAGTTTTGTAGATAATAATCGATTCTGTTCGATAATAAAGATTGAATAATAAAGATTAATAATAGATGGTGAAAATTCTTTATTTACCATATATATTATAATATATATGTCAATGTGTTGTATAACAACAATGTAAAATGAATATAGATAAAATGTATTTATGAAAATCAAATACAGTGTCAATATGTTTAATAAATTACTCATATATATATTATATATATATTATATAACATTCCTAATAAATTATAAATATATATTTTTAAACATATACGAATTTTTAGAATAATTACTATACTATATTACCATAATTATTATACTATAATTACTAGGTTATTATAACATATTTTTATTTATTTAACAAAATTCATGATTCACTTACCAAAATTATTGGAATGATATCATCGCTCGTGATTTTAATTTCTATTAAATTATGCACTATAATATATATATATATGTTTCTACTATTTAAACATATTGTTCAAATAATTCATCAATGAATCGTACGAATTAGTTGCGTTCAGCCGTCGCGCGCAATAAGCTACTTTCATCTGACGAAACTTTCCACTAGCGATATCTCCATGAAGCGTGGTAAGCTCGACAGGTATACTATAGTTGAGCCATGGACATGGGTCATACACCTACGACTTCTTTTCGATTCGAGTCATGGTGGAGATTTCAAGGACACTAACCAGCATCAGCCACTCGATACATGCTTATATAGAGTGTTCAAAAATTTCAAAACTTCTTTGATGTACCTTATATAATTTTTATTAATGTGTCCAACACATTTCTTTATATACATTTCTCTGTATACATATGTATAGAAATACGATATAAAGAAATACGATAAAAAGTTATATAAGAACCATATATTTAACTAATTAATTCTAATATTTTAATTTATGAACAAAAAATAATATAGATTATTTTTACTGATTGTGATTTAAATTTTGAATATTTTTTTTTTAAAAAGTTTTCCCGCTCCTTCGTTAATGTTGTATCACGAATGAAATTTTCGCTTATGCATACATTATAGCAAGCATTCTTATGGTTTTTAAATGTAATTATAATCAATTGAAATGGCAAAAAAAAAAAAATTAAAGTATTTATTATCAAGAAAAATAAATAATATATTAGAATTTTGATACACTGTATATATAATATATTTATACATATATTATATGTATATGTATATGTATATATAAATACGTGTACCTGTGGTATATATATATTTAATCTTCGATGACTAACCCACTCGATTTAATGGCGAAAAGAATCTCGATAACGTTTTATAAACGTTTTATACTTCCATCGTCTCGCCGTATCAAAATCGTCTATCAACAAGTTTTATATGTCAAAATGAAGTCTCATCTAATCTGAAATGAAACATATTATTATGTATATATACATATATATAAAATATTTTTTCCAAACGTATTACAAATTTTAGAAAAAAATATACTTTATATATAAATTTCGATTTTTGTTTTGAGAATCATTTCAATCATATAATATCGCCAATAAACAAATCGATTTCACATAATATAATAGTTTTCATATAATAATTTTCTCTCTCTACATATATATATATATATATATATTTCAATTACATTTATACATCTATGAATCTATTAATTTTATTATATCTGGGTGTTATTAAATATCGTTTGTTTTTCAACAATTTGATTTTGTTTCTAATAATTCCCTACTTTTAATTATTTTTCAATTTTTTAATACATTTTTTGATAGATTTATATAAAATAATAAAAAAAAGATTGATTCAAATAAATTAATCATATAATTCATCTTATTATTATTTATTTTGTTAACTTAAAAATTTGTATTTTACGTTATAATTTTATTTATAATTTATAATTTTTTCTATTATAATTCAAGATTTTATATTTTTATTTCATGTTCATTTTATATTTCTCATCCGAGGATTTAATAAAAATAATCATATTATTCAATTTTAATTATAATACACTAATACTTTATTAAGATAAATACATATTTATTTTATTGATAAACATTCTGTTATAAATAATCTGTCAATATAATTTTCTTATTAATCTCTGCAATTATATACTGTAATTATATTTTATATTTTTTACGAGTTGAAATCGTATAAAATCATGTTGGTTACAAAAAGTATTTAATAATTTCTTAATAACATAACAATTCAATAAATTATCTTGTATTTTTGGATATAATATACAATAAATTTAATATTCTAAGTCTACAGAAAAATTTAAAAAAAACAATATATGTAATTCAAATTTTAAAATGAATATGTTAAAATTTTTTTAGTTATGCTTATGCTTTAGTTATTTTTATAATTATAAATCAATATAAAATCAATATAAAATCATTTTCAGCAAAATATTTCGGAGTTTTTGGTATAATATTATATTTACTTAAATAAGCTATGTAATAAACTTTAATTAGATGACATCTCTATAAAATTGATTAACCAACCAAAAATTCGAATGAAACAATTTTTGTCGACTATTAATAATTTAGAATAAAAATAATAGATAAGTTGATAATTCTTAAATAAATATTAACTATATTAAAATTGTGTGAAATTTTTTTGATAATACATTCTCACAATCAAAATAAATACATATAAAAGCTACTTGTGAAATAGATGAAGTGCAACAATTTTATTTTTTATAGTACATTTATATTCAATGCATACAATGCATAATACTTTATGGTATACGCATCATTCTTAATTAAAAATAAACATGAAAAATGATAATTAAATTGATCATTTCTGCCAAAAACAATTTCTTGTGCTTATATTTTGAACATATGTATATGTATATGTAACATTAGAATCAGATTTGAAAATTATTGATTTATAATAAATTAATTCATTCAATTATCTTTATTGGATATTTCGATAGAAGTAATTTAAAATTTATATATAAATAAGATTTTGTATATATATATATAAAAAAAAAAATTCTGTAGACTAGAATTTAATATACTTCGTTCAGTCAACATATATATATATATATATTTATTTCCATATCAAAATCGTATTCAGATGTAAAATTATGTGGCCAGTATCATAGAATATGAGCACCAAGAAATTTAATGTGTAGTATTATGTTACATTATTGGTAATTAATTGCACTTATCGATTCTCATATTTTATAAGAAGAAATATAATTTCTATAATTATGTTGATATTTAAACAATGGATATACATATTGTTAACTAAACAGTATTGAAAACTTTTGTTAGACATAATTTAAAGATATGAGATGTATGACATATATCACTTTTTCTGAGATGAACATTTTCATCAATTAGTTCTCTTATTTCTTACAATATGAAATAATTAAATTCAATTTATATTAAAACTTAAGAAAATATACGTTGAATATTCGTTGTAACTTCTATTGGAAGTTCGGAATACATAGAATTCCATTCATTTGGAAAATCTCGCTGAGCAGATTTAATGAATTCCATAACAATACCTTTTGCCTCTGTATAAAAAAAAACACAGAATTAAACATGAATTATAATAATTTTATGATGTTTTATTATGTAAATAATAATAAAAGAATTCTATAATATACCATCATCTGTTGTTTTGTTTTCATGTAACACACTGACTGCAACTTTAAGTAATATTTCCATGTGTGATCGTAAAATAGGATGACCAGCTTCATATAATGTTAATATACTTTTAAAAACTGCTTTGTTTTCTTCAAAATCTTCTTTTAATGGTAACTGTTTAACAAAAGTTGGAAATACTTGATCAAGTGGTACATTAAAATAATTAGCAATGATAAGTCTCGCAAGTGCTCCGACTATATTGTCACGAGCTCCTGCATGTGATTCTTTAAAAATTGCATTTGAAAGAACTGATAAAATATCAGAATAATGTCTATTAATTATTGTTAAGAAAAAAAAATTATATAAAATTTTGTCTCATAATTTAGAAATAAATTATATTTTATACATTATAATATTATAATATTACATATATAAATTATATAGAAATATATTAAAAGGATACGAAAAAACTGCATCTTTGCCATATAATGCAAGTTCACCAATTCCATATATAGCATTATTCCGAACTTCAGCACTTGAATCATCTGTAAGTTTCAAAAACATAGGAAGCAGTTGACATACAAAACCAGCTACCTTATGTTTGAGTCCTGAGAAACATTCTGAAATTGTACCAACTGCAAAAGATCTTTGAGCTTCAGATTTATTCTTTTTCTGAAAATATTTATTAGCTTTTTAAACTATGAATATATATAATGTTTACAAGTACATAAATATAAATAAATAAAACTATACCAATCTTTCTAAGAGCATTGGTAACACGGTATGAAAATAAAGTTCAAAATCTTCTGGCGAAATTACTTTTCCGAAAGTAGACAATACATCACCCGCACATTCAACTAATAATTCATCTTGTTCAGCTTCAGTATCTATGTCATCTGCTTCTTCTTGATCTTGACATTCTGTTTTACCTATTATAAACAATTTTTTCTATAAATAAAAATGTTAAAAATATGATCCATATTGAATTTTTACCTAACATAACATCAGTGACACAATTCATTATAGCTTCTTTATGACCTTCTCCAATAAGGACATCTGATTTTATTTCTTTCAGAAGTTCTGTATAAGCATCTAAACCAGTAATAGCTACTGTTCGTTCATCACCTAATCTTATTAATTCAGATAATTTTGGAATAAATACAGAAAGAGCTTTTAATAATGCTTGTTTTCCTTCATTAGTATTAATTTTTGAAAAATTAATACAAAACTGTAAAAGAGCGTCAATAACAGCTTTACGAATATCTTCTTGCGGATAATTAATTAATTTAAAAGTTTCTTCAAAAGATTTTTCAAGATATGGTAAAAATGCTTCTCTGAAAAAATAATAAATAAGAAATATAAATCTATTTTGAAAAATATGAGACTAATTATGTGAAAAATAATATTTTACCCTGTATGTTCTGCAATTTCTTTTAAAGCTAAAATTGCTTCTTCCTTCTCTTCAATATATGCGTTTTCAACACTATAACCAGCTACATCATCATCATCATTATCTTCTTCATTATCTGTGTTTTCAATATCTTCTTCTTCATTTTCATTTTCACTAAGATCTTCATAAACAGGAAAAGCAGAAGTTTCATCTTCTTTAAAGTGAGGCTATTAAAAAGATTATAATATAAAAGAAAGAATATAATTTAATATAATTTAATTAATTTATCTTTTATAATTTACCACTATCCCTTCTGAACTTTGTATACTTGTAATCATATATTCAATGATTTCTGGCAAAGCACCTGCCATTTCCTTTTTCATTATAGTACTAATTGATGCAAACAATCCGTAAATTGATTTTTTCAAATCTGGATCTTCTGTTTCTTTTAATAATTTCATTCCAAAATTAAGAGATCTACCAGCCAAAGGTGCAAAATTTTTATCACCTATTGTTCTTGCAATTACTCCAAGAGTATCTATAATATTAATTAAC